GGCGTAAGCTTGGTGGCGATACACAAACTCGAGATCCTTGTCGGACCAGCTTGACCTGGATCCAGCTTGGTCTTCTTCCGACTCTGGAGCTTGCATCTTCTTCCGCGTAGTCTTACTCGTTTTCGTCTTCTTTCTCGTTTCTTCGACTAGCGGGGTTGGGTTTAGGTACAGTGTTGGCTTAACCGGTGAATCTGCAAATGCATACCGTTTCGCCTTCACTTTCCCTTGTTTTGTTAGCGGATCTTGACTTGCGTCAAGATCCGCAGGGGTCCCCGAGGGGACCTGGGAAGGATAGAGAGGTTTTTCTTCTAGATCCGGATCCGGATCCACCTCTCTTTCGTCGACAGAAATCCTCCCAAAACTCCATCGATCCGCGGATCTTGTTTCATTCAGCAGCGTCTTCGTCGATCCGACCTCCGACGACGCCTCTTCCCCTGGCTCAATCTTCACTTGAGCATCTTCTTGGGACTCACGGTGAAATCTCGAGTCACCAAAAGATCCGGGTACGCGCACCATTGTGGTGTAGCGGGATCAGCAAAATCTGCGAGATTGCCGGATCCAACTTACCAACTGCGCCCAGACACCGACTAACGGAGGGGGTCCCCCGATGATCCGTGTTCTGCTGAACTTTCCTCACCTTGTGTACCCGTCGGTAGGGCGGGATCTGCTCTCTCGGTAACTTCCGAAGAGTTCAAGTGGTGAAGCTTGAGTGTCTTGGCGAGACGTGGGAATGGGGTGGAGCAGCAGTGGAAAATCTTCACTCTGCGTCCGTGGATGGTTCCGAATCCTAAGCGAATATTCGAGCTTATGGATCCGGGGCCTAGATCGTGGATCTGGCCGTAGGGTTGCCTTGCGGGTGTGTTCCCTTGCCTTTGTAGTTCCTTTGCGTCGTACTTGCCGCCTTCTGTGACGGGATCTTGAGAGTTGAGAACTTCTAGGGTGTAACCGACCAAGTTGTAAATTCGGTTAACCTGTCGGATCTGCACAAGTAAAGGAAAAGCTCACTAGGGTGTAGGATCTGGCCAATGTATTATCCAGTTATCGCTACCAACACTAGATTCGCAATTCCCAACCTTCTCGGAGCTCGTACGGCCAATGTAGTTCCGGTTCTTGAGGGCAGGAAGGCACTTGCGTGTCACTGTGCAAATTGAGGACTGTATTGATACTTAAGCCTATACCTGCCTGGATTTCTACCTTCTATGTCTTTCACTTGTTAAATCCCTTACCAGGCTCGGCTGCACGTCCTTTCTCTCCTTGACCCATCTTCCCAGTTGTATTATCCTCAGATCCACCGGATCCATGGCGTAATCAATATGGTCACCCTATTATGGGTACACTCATCCGGATCTAGGTCGCTTGGATCCACTTCACTGTGAGTGTACCCTCGTCGTGGATCTGAGCTCTCCAATCATCCGACATTATCTCGCAACCGTCCGTGATCTCCATTGTCCCACGAAAGTTCGAGATCCACTGCATCCATCATCCCTATACCCTGGATCCAGGTCCCTCCAGGCGGGTCCTCCCTCCATGGATCCGAACTCGGAAGTATGGGATCCGGGGTACCTCGCGGTGGATCTTGACTCCTCATTAGCCGTGGCTACTAGATCCACCTTTAGAGAGCACCGACCATCATTCTTTCATAGGATCCACACTCGATCCACTGGTACATAGTATATCTCATATCCACCTAAGTGAATCCCGGTAAGGGTGGATCCGAGGTAAGTCTTGGTGGATCTTGCCTTCTCGTACATCGCTCATACCAGATCCATCGTCGTTTCATATGGATGGCTGCTCGTCATGGCTAATCCACCAACGGCAACTTGCATCCGTGCCACCAACCCAAATCCTCTCTAATCACTTGAAATTGTCATTGATTCGGGGTAGTGACCCCGCGTCAGACCCATTCTCTTATTTCTGAGAAAGCACTTCACCACACCTGGAAGTCGAGTGATCGACCCTGCCTCGCCAGGCGGGTTTGCAAGCTCGAGTGTTCGTCGGCGGCCAGAGGTACCTTCCACATACTTAAGCACGCAGACCGACTCCGTCGGTGAGCTGTCACTTGGTACGGGCTCTCGGCGAGGTTTCAGCCGACGCCGCTTCGACTTTCTCTTTCGCCGCCTCGAGTGCGAACTCGAGGATGATGAGTCGCTCTCGCTGGACGAGATGTCACCCCCTCTAGCGGGAGCCCCTGCTCGACCGCGGTAGTGATCAGCGGGAGCGCCAACTGCTCGACCACCGGCTCAATTGACGGGAGCCCCTGCTCGACCGCCATCTCGTTCGTCTGCGGGAGCCCCTGCTCGACCGCCATCTCGTTCGTCTGCGGGAGCCCCTGCTCGACCGCCATCTCATTCGTCTGCGGGAGCCCCTGCTCGACCGCCAGTTGGTCTTCATCCCCGCGTCGCCGCGGCGACTCGTCAGTTAACAGCACTGCGCAAGCCGTGCAGAGAGGGCCATCGCTCACTCTGTGCACAACGTGCGTCGTGGATGACCGGTCCACGACGGTGACGTGAGGCCAATCCTTCTGGGCGACCAGGAGGTGCGTGAACACCTCGCTCACATCATAATCACTGCGGCGCTTGACCGACCGGGCCAACCAGTCAATCTCTGGTTGATAGCGCGTCAGCCACGGCATACCCAGGATGCAGTCAAACGCGTAATTCATCTCAATAACGAGGAAGTCGTCGTTGCTTCGGAAACCGTCGAACGTGTACGGAAGGGTAATCTCGCGCCGCGCTACGCGGCGTGATTTCCCATCGGCCAACTTGACAGCGACCTCCCCTCTACCTTTGCGGACAGTGATGTCCGACGGGAGTACCGACAAGCACGACGCGCGGAAGAAGTTGTTGGTCGCTCCTGAATCAAGGAGCGCTCGCAGTGGTCGCCGGGCACCGGCGACATGAAGACTGACAATGATCAATCTTGAATCGCTCGGCGTGGTGGTGGC